GACCTTAGGGATTTTGATATTTCAGGATCTTAACATTCAGAATTATGGCATTCAGGACTGTATCTTTCAGGATTACGACTGGCTCCCAAAGACTCAATATTGTCAGCATGTCAGTCCTCCAACTTGATCTATGCATTTAATGAAATCACAGTCAAAATCCCAGCAAGTCATTTTTTGGATACAAGCAAATTTATTCTAAAGTTTACATGGAGAGGCGAGTGACCCAGAACAGCCAACACAATACTGAAGAAGAACAAAGGTGGAGGACAACACCACCCATCGTTAGGACGCACTACACCTGTCGTTAAGACTCACTACACCCATCATTATGACTCCCTCCAACTCCACAGGAATCCAGGCAGGGTGGGGCTGGTGACACAGACAAACAGATCAGTGAAGCAGAACAGAGAGCACAGACATGGGTCCACAGACATGAGGTCAGCTGAGCTCTGAAAAGAAGCAAAGTTGATGCTATGGAGAAAGGATCACCTCTTAACAAATGGTGCTGGACAACTGGACGTACACACGCACAGAAACAATTCCAGATGCAGACCTTACACCCTTCACAACTAACTCAGAATGGATCACAGAACTCATTCCAAAATGAAAAACCATAAAACTCCTTAAAGGTAAGAGAGGAGAAACTCTAGATGACCTTGGGTTTGGTGATGACTTTTTAAAATCCAACACCAAAGGCAAAATCCATGAATAAAATAATTGGTAAGTCGGACTTCATTAAAATAAAAACTAATGCTCTGCAAAAGACGCTCTCAAGAGAATGAAAAGACAAGCCACAGACTGGGAGAAAACGTTTACAGAAGATGTATCTGATATCTGATAAAGGACCAATATCTAACATACTCAAGAACTTTACAAACTCAACAATAAGGAAACAAACAGCCTAACTAAAACATGGCCCAGACACCACCACAGACACCTCACCAAAGAAGACACACAGAGGAAAACAAGCATGTGGAGATGCTCTGCTTCCTCCATCATCAGGGAAATGTGAATGCAAATGACAACGAGACACCACCACACACCTCTCAGAACGGCCAGAACCCAGAACACCGACAACACCCAGTGCAGGCGAGGATGTGGAGCAACAGCAGCTCGTTCACTGCTGGTGACACGCAGAACGCAGAATGCCACAGCCACTGGGGAAGACAGTTTGGTGGCTGCCTCCAAAACCAAACGTTCTCTTACTATGTGATCCAGTGATTACACTCCTGGGTACTTACCAGTAGAAGCTGAAGACTTACACCCATACAAAAACCTGCATGAGGGTGCTGATGGCAGCTTTATGAATAATCGCCAAAACATGGAAGCAACTAAGCTGTTCCTCAGTAGGCGAATAAATTGTGGCCCATCTATACAATGGGATGTTATGGATTATAATGTAATAATACAGTATTATTCAGCACTAAAGAGAAATGAGCCATGAAAAGACGGGGGAATCTTGAAGGCATGTGACTGTGAAAAGGCCACATATTGTACGGTTCCAACCCCAGAACATTCAGGAAAAGGCAAACTATGGAGACAGCAACGAGGTCCATGACTGTCAGGTGTCAAGCGGGGAAACTGGAGATGCTGAACTGGATGAGCCCCAAATTCCTTCACCGGCCACTGCACGTCACCTGCTGTCCTCCCCGTCACCCCACCTTAGATAGGCCTTCGATTGAACCTGCTTTAAAGCTCTTTGGAAGCAGACCAGATGTGAATTATGAATAAGTGATGGAAGAGGGTCTCTTTTTAAAGCTTTTACCAGGTGAACTTTTGTCGCATGTGTGCGGCCTGCGGCCTCGTTGACTGACTGCTTCTTTGGGAGCAGGTACGCGTGGGTCTTCCCTCTCACTCTCTGAAGACTGAACAGCCAGGGTCTCATGGTGGACCCGACCGTGCGGCAGGAGGGTGGCCCTGCTCTCTGACCTGTAAAGAAGTTTTCTGCTCCCTGGCATCATCGCAGGGTCCTCCCTTCCTGCTTGGGTGCAGTTGCTCTTTGTGTTGAGAATGTCTAACTAGCTAGGGCCTCTCATCTTGAGACATCATTCCATGTCTGGATTTGCTTTCGAATCATCCCAGGGCAGAGCAGGGGGCTGTAGTGGGTGCAGAGGAGTATCAGGAAAGCCTGAGAGTCACCATTTGTGGCAGACAGGTGATGCCTGTATGGGGTTCTCAATATTCTCTGTTTCATAGGAGATGCCTGTATGGGGTTCTCAATATTCTCTGTGTATTTCATAGGTGATGCCTGTATGGGGTTCTCAATATTCTCTGTTTCATAGGAGATGCCTGTATGGGGTTCTCAATATTCTCTGTGTATTTCATAGGTGATGCCTGTATGGGTTTCATATTCTCTGTTTCATAGGAGATGCCTGTATGGGGTTCTCAATATTCTCTGTGTATTTCATAGGTGATGCCTGTATGGGGTTCTCAATTTTCTCTGCATATTTCATATTTGCCGTTTTACATGATGCTTTTGTAAAGCACACAGTGCGATTAGGAAGACAGTGATCACCAATCAGAAGAGCACCAGCATTGCAGGGTAGCTCAGGAAGAACGCCAGGCACATTGTGTAAATTGGAGGGATCACGGGAGAGTGGAGAGAGCACGTTCAGGACGCTTTTTGCGAAGATCCATACCCTGGGGTGTGGGAGGAAGGAGAAGGTGCCAAGGCAGAGAGGTGAAGCTCCCTGGATGCATAGGAAATGCGCGCAGAGCGGGAGCACGCGTTGGAAGGGCGCGCGGAGCCGCAGCACGCCCTATTCTCTCTGCGACCTCACCCACACCGGGCTCTCCAGCTGGGTTTCCCTCCCTTTGATGGGGGTGAGGATGTTTACTGCTTTCTGTTCCCAGTAATGAGGACAGAGGTGAATGGGGTTTTTTAAGTTGTGGGAGATGGGATAGGATAGAGACAAGGGACGTTAGAGAAGCAAGAGGACGACCCAACGTGACCCCACTAGAAGGAGCACAGAGGCGGAAGAATGCAGGTGGAGGGGCAGCCGGCACCGGGGAGGGCCACGGAAGGCTGAGACGAGAAGCTGAAGGTGACCTCAGCCGTGTGGCCAAGGGCTGAGGCCACACTGAGCTGGAGGAGAACGGGAAGCTCGGCAGCTACACGGGACCCAAGGTCACAAGTGAAGACCCCCTGATAGCGTCCAGTACCCACGAGGGCACAGGAGGCGGTGAAGACCCCTGATGGTGTCTAGTACCCACAGGAGGCAGTGAAGACCCCCTGATAGCGTCCAGTACCCACGAAAGCGCAGGAGGCAGTGAAGACCCTCGATGGTGTCTAGTACACAGAGAGCACAGGAGGGAGGACCATCAAGAAAAGGGGTTTCTTGGAATAGAGCATGACTTAGAACAGAGGAGACGTGGCCCCAAAGGGAGAGGTGCTGGAGGGAAAGTGGCCACTCCAGGCGGGCAGCTCCCGTGGCAAACAGCACCATGAATGCTCCAGCAGCGCTCACTCAAGTGCGGCATTGGCCTCCTCCGCCGTCCTTCTCCTCCAAGACAGGAACAAGGAGAAAGCACTGGTAATGGTCACACGTCCTTCCCTCTAATTGCAACTTCACATTCCTTCTATTTAAAATCTGCCATAACGGCTGCACGAACAAAGAAAGAGCGAGGGCAGGAGAGCCTCCGGCTGCAGACGGCAGAGAAGCTGACGCTCGCTCTCAGGTTCCCATTCAGCCTTCACTTAGGGAGCATGGAGCGCTCACATAACGCGACGCTCAGGCAATGTTTGTGAAAACCGTTATCTACTTGATTTTAGTGTTTGTTACCTCCAAAGGGGAAGTCATATTTTATCACAATCCAGTGCAGGATGGTCTTGGGAAAAAGGTGTTGGGAAATAAATGGGTCAGAACCTTCTCCATATCACAGAGCCACAGGAACCCGCAAACGCCCTTCTCCCCGGGCCCGCCCTGAGGTGGGTTAACTCAGGTAGCGACACCGGAAGCCACGCTCTTGGCACAGCGGTCATCTCGAGGCCAACACTGTTCACCCAGCCCATGGTGAGCAGCACGAAATCCAGATGGGGCTTCGGAAGACGCAGCAAACTGCCATAAATATGGGCCAGGACCACATGCTGGGCCACAGGAGGGGTGAGTTCAGCGACAAAGGACACTGGACTTAACGTATTCAATTTTCCATAACAGGACGACAAATGCTGTGGGCCAGACCCATCCTGCAAGCCATGTTTCCCGCCCCATCCATCAGCTTCAGCAGTAAAATTGTGAAATCGTAAAATCTGGGGAAGGGATGAACGAGAAGTGAGAAGGGAACACACACTGTCCCCAAACCCTCAGGAGCAACTCCCCCTCCCACCAGCTGCTGCCTTCATCGTCCCTAGACCCTCAGGATCATCTCCTCCTCCCCCCGGCCGCCGCGTTCACTGTCCTCACACCCTCAGGATCACCTCCTCCTCCCCCCGGCTGCCGCGTTCACTGTCCTCACACCCTCAGGATCACCTCCTCCTCCCCCCGGCCGCCGCGTTCACTGTCCTCACACCCTCAGGATCACCTCACCCTCCCACCGGCTGCTGTGTTCACTGTCCTCACACCCTCAGGATCACCTCCTCCTCCCCCCGGCCGCCGCGTTCACTGTCCTCACACCCTCAGGATCACCTCCTCCTCCCCCCGGCCGCCGCGTTCACTGTCCTCACACCCTCAGGATCACCTCACCCTCCCACCGGCTGCTGTGTTCACTGTCCTCACACCCTCAGCAGCGCCTTCTCTGTCCCACCCTCAGGATCACCTCCTGCCTCTCGCCGACCACTGCATTCCCAGGTCTTGAAATGACCACATACTCCTTCCCAGCACAGAGAGGGTATGAGGGCAGAAGGGACCCTTCCCCACATCGTGCCCCACTCCTGCTGCACGTCCTCAGGGGGAGTGCGGTGTGCAGACCCCACGTGTGGGGAGAATGTAGTGCGTCTGTCACTAGGAGGGGCCGGACAGAGGACAGTCAGCAAACAAGAAACACCAAGCAGGCTGGCTCACCTTCCCCTGTGCTGGGGGGGTCTTCAGGATCTCCCAGAGGTGAAGGCCACTTCTGGGGGACGGCTGGCGACAACAAGGGCCTGGGCATTCTGGACGGGGCGCGCAGAAGGTACTGCGGCTCCAGGCTGCCCTTCCCAGGGGGAGCTGGGGGCCTCTGGGCAGCATAGGCACCGAGGGCTGCCATCAGATGGTGTCTCTCCACACTGCTGTCCACCTTAGGGCTGAGCTCGTCTGGCTGGAGCTGGCTGAGGGTCCGCGGCAGGAGGTCCTCGGGGAGCTGGGCCTGGGGCCCGGGAGGGTAGGTCAGCACAGACGTGTGGGCCACATAGGTCAGGATGCTCTTGGAGAAGCGGTCGTCACCCTGGAGGGGCAGGAGAGCAAAACAGAGCAAGAGTCGCATTTCCATCGTTAGCCGGGGGCACCAAGATGCCCTTCAGTCTCAGTTTTCAAGGTCCTAAACAGCCCTGGGGGTACCAAGATGCCCTTTGGTCTCAGGTTTCAAGGTCCTACACAGCCCTGGGCATCTCTGAAATGTAAAGCCAAAACAGGACTCTCATTTTCACTCTGACCAACTCAGGTCCCTATTTCATATTTGTTCCTGCGTTATTTTTAATGACAGCTTCATGGAGATAATTCACTCACATCAGCAGTTTTTAGTGTATTCACAGAGTTGTGAAACATCACTACTAAGTCCAGAACATCCACATCACCTGAAAAGCGACTTTGCAGCGTCCCCATTCCTCCCTCCCACCCCGACACTGCTCATTCGCTTTCGGTCTCTACGGATGAGTCTCTTCTGGACGTTTCGTGTAAATGGAATCACACCACGTGTGGCATCTGTGCCTGGCTTGTTTCCCTCAGCGTAATGTCCTCAGGTGCACCCATGCTGATGCCGGGGCACGGGCCCGGATGTCCTTCCTCTTTGAGGCGAGTACTATCCCACTGCATGTATATCCCACATTTTAAAAATTCATCAATCAGTTCATGGACATTTGCTTTTTTCCACCTTTTGGCTATTTTGAATAATGCTGCTCTGAGTATTCGTTTATGAGTCTTTGTATAAATGTGTTTTCAATTCTCTTGGGTTTATTTGAGGATGTTACGTGGTAACTCGACATTTAACTGATAGAGGAACTCCCAAGCTGTTTTCCAGCACAGCAGCACCACGAAAAAGCTCACCAGTAATGGATGCAGATCCCAGTTCCTCTGCATCCTTGCCAACACTTTCTACTGTCCTTCTGTTTTTATTATGGTCATCCTAGCGGTTGGAAAGCAATACCGCGCTGTGTCATTTGCATAATGTGCTAAGCCGAGTATGCCCTGCACCTGGAGCCTCCAACTCAGCTTTAACTAATGGTCCTTTGCACGGCAGCTCGGGGTTACTGCTTTCACAGCAACGAGAGGAGCCGCTCCCAGGCACGTTCGTGAGGCTCGGCAGCGCCTCCCTGGTGGCTAATGATGCTGCCTCTTGGCATGCCCTTATTGACCACTCCTACCTCTTCTCTGAAGAAACGTCTGTTCATATTTTATGCCTGCACTGGTCTTTAACCCCGAAAAGCTGCTCCCCAATACCTGAATCTCTCTTTCAGCAACCCTCAGCAGAGGCCTCAAGTGCCTTGTCTGGAGGCCTTCATTCCAACTTCTTTACTGATGACTTGAAACATGTTTGCCACCTGCTCTTGTAACTGCAATGTTCTGCAGCAGGGAAGATGCCAGCGTGTCTCGTTCGATAATTACCTATCACATCGTTTACTAATCAATGCCCTGGCTAACAGTCTTTCATTAGATTTCTGTCTATATTTTCTCCTCACTCATTTAGTAAAACTCCCCAAGAGGACATGTCCTCATCACACTTTGTGTCACTAGACAAACCAAGGCCCAGCTATCCTCACCTCTAGGGCAGCTGTAAAAATGTGAAAAGTTCCCATATTCTACCTCGGACTTAGGCTTCATCAAAATGTCATGGACAAGCTGAGTATGAATAATTTCCAGCTTAGAGACTTTCGAGTCCTGGACACACACACTGAGCTCCGTGGGGGCACGCATGGGTGTGTGGACAACACAGCTTAAATCCCATCCATTCATATTTTCTACTTGCACCTCCTTGGGGCACATGATCAATGTCATGTCAGTGCAGGTGGACACCTCAGCATCTAGCTACGGGTGTGCAGCCATCGCTGGCAGTAAGGTAAGGGGATCTGACTCCTGAGTCTGGCTATTTCTGAAAATATTTGGGTTCATTCTCTGGGTTAGATTTTTCAATAGCAACCTGGGAGTTGGGAAATGGGTTGATACAGGTTGGGTTTTTTTGTTTGTTTTTTTATGGTGTGTTTTTTTTTGTTTGTTTTTTGAGACAGAGTCTCCCTCTTTCACCCAGGCTGGAGTGAAGTGGTGCAATCTCAGCTCACTACAACCTCTGCCTCCTGAGTTCATGCAATTCTCATATGCCTCTGCCTCCCAAGTAGCTGGGACCACAGGAACACAACACTATACCTGGCTATTTTTGTGTGTGTGTATGTTTTAGTAGAAATGGGGTTTCACCATGTTAGCCAGGCTGGTCTCGAACTCTTAGCCTCAAGTGATCCACCTGCCTCAGCCTCCCAAAGTGCTGGGATTACAGGCATGAGCCACCGCGCCCGGCCAGTTTGAATCAGGTTCTAATTTCAGTTCTCATATATGAACTTGGGTAAATCACTTGACCCCTAGAGACTCAATTTTCTTCTGTCAAAAAAGGAAATCGGACATTATCTCTAAGATTTTTTTTTTCTTTTGAGATGGAGTCTCTCACTGTTGCCCGGGCTGGAGTGCAGGGGCACATCTCAGCCACGGCAACCTCCACCTCCGGGGTTCAAACGGTTCTCCTGCTTCAGCCGCCCGAGTAGCTGGGATTATAGGCGTGTGGCACTGTGCCCAGCTAATTTTTGTATTTTTAGTAGAGATGCGGTTTTGCCATGTTGGCCAGACTGGTCTCGAACTCCTGACCTCAAGTGAGGGGCCTGCCTCAGCCTCCCAAAGTGCTGGGATTACAGTCATGAGCCACTGCACCCAGCCATTATCTCTAAGATATTTTAATTATTATTTCTAAAGTGATGGGACTTTAGTTATCATCCAAATTGTTTAATTTTGTCCAAGGACTACCTGAAATCAACTATTCTTCCCTTAAGAAAGAGAATATGTGAGCGAGCAAGAGCGTGAGAAAGAGCGAGAGCAAGCGAGTGAGAGACAGTGAATGCCACCACAACAAACAGCCCCTCCAGCAATTTCCCACAAATTGGGTGTAAGTGTCAATCTCCAGCTCAGCCTGCACTCCCTCTTGCACAGGCTGTCTCTGAACACCTGGTCAGCCACCGTGCTGGGGGCTGGGGATCTGTGTCCAAACCCCTTGTTATGTGCCTGCAAGCGGCTCTCCCCTCATTGCTATGAATGCAGTCACCTGGAGCTTCCACTCAAAGGGCCTTTAATTAAAGTTGAGTTGGAGGCTCCAGGTGCAGGACTGACTAGGTTCAGTGCATTACACAATCACAGCAGAGTGTTATCTGTGCAGTAGACTTGGATAAACAATCTATTTTTGGTTTCTGTTCTGAATCAAATTAAGGTGAAGAGGAAAAAGAATATTTCAGTAGTTAGCACAAACAACAGGGCCTGTAGAAATAATAGCAAACATCGGTTTTCGCAAGCCACTCCGGCGACTCAATAGATGATTGCAGACGCTGCGGTGTTCCTCACCAAGGTAGTGACCATCCCATAACCAAGACGACCTGAGAGTTGGGAACATGGGCAGTGAAGAAAAGTATTCTCCTGCTGACTGGCTGTTTTGTGGTTTGAGGTCCCCAAGGAAAGGGAACTGGCTCTGGAGCTGCCTGGGTTTAAACTACCACCAATGCTACGACCTTAGTGCTTCAGCACTTTATTTAGGTCATCTGTAAAACAAGGATAATAATAATAGTATCTGGCACAGGAGGGTTAATGGCTATGACTACTACTATTATTACTATTATTTACTTTACCTTATTATACCTTCATTGTTTGTTATTTTGTTTGTTTTTTTGAGATGGAGTCTCACTCTGTCGCCCATGCTGGAGTGCAATGACGCGATCTCAGCTCACTGCAACCTCTACCTCCTGGGTTCAAGTGATTCTCCTGCCTCATCCTCCTGAGCAGCTGGGATTAAGGCACACATCACCATGCCCAGCTAATTTTTTTGCATTTTTAGTAGAGACGGGGTTTTACCATGTTGGTCAAGCTGGTCTCTAACTCCTGACCTCAAGTGATCCTCCCGCCTCGGCCTCCCAAAGTGCTGGGATTACAAGCATGAGCCACCATGCCTGGCCTATACCTTCATGTTCTTTAAAGCAGTCAGGAAATCCATACCTCAACTGATGAGGAACTATCCAATTAGACTTTTTCTTCCACTCTCAGCTCTGAGTTTAAAATTCTGTGACTCATTTTCAAATGCCCAATTGTGAAGATGTTTTCAGTCTCACTTCAACATACCAATGATAGGAGGTTTCCAAAGCCAATGTGGAATAATTTTTAAGACCATAGGTGCCCAAACCTGGAAATTAGCAGCCTAAAGGCATGGACATGGGCCAATTTCCAATACATGCGATGGACATTCCTGTGCATGAATTCTTCAAACTATGTGTAAGAGAAATCCGGCTGAGCATCTCTGGGGTAGCCCAGCTGTGGGTATGAAGCATTGGAGAGCTTCTGCCAAAGTCTGCTAATGTTTAAGCTGACATGATATTCTACTGGGAATATTCTTCAACCCACTGCATTTCCATACGAGGAGAAGTAGAACCCAGTCGCCCACACAATGTAAAAGCCAGCAGGAAAGAAGGCTCACTGAGAGACTGGCCCAATCCTGTCAGCTCTGTGTAAACTGTCTAAACTTGAAGCCTCACTTTCACCACCTGCAAAACTAGAAAAATATTTCTGTTTTCTTTAAAACCTGCTGTGAGGATTAGGGAGAGTATAGGTAAAAGTGCCTTGCTCAGCACACAATTCAGAGGAGGAACTTGACAAATGGCAGTCATCAGCAGTATCATCATCACCATTAGTGTCAATGCCACCATCCACAGCAGCATCCCCACCATCGTCATCTTCACTATCCACAGCACCATCCCCACCATCATCACCCTCACCATCAGCATCATCCCACCATCAATAGCAGTATCCTCACCATCATCACCTTCACCATCAACAACAGCATCTCCACTATCTCCACCAGCATCACTAACATCCCACCATCATCACCCTCACCATCAGCATCATCCCACCATCCACAGCAGCATCCCCACCATCATCATCTTCCACCATCAACAACGGCATCTCCACCATCAACACCTTCACCATCATCAC